CGCAAAAATACAATAAATGGATTTTGTTTTAATTCATTTGTGAAGGTTTCATCTACAATGTGAGTTATCATAAAGTGCACACTTATCTAAGTGTGCATCTTTTTGATTTCGGTCAAAGTGTCTCCCCCCATTTTTAATTTATAAGAATGCCTCTTACTGCTCCTCTTAATGCTGTTTTTAAATTATTATGGAGTTAATTTGATAGCAATAGGTAATTTATTGTATTGGTACAGTGAGAGGTATCGTAAAATTGGTAAAAAAGATCTAAGTTTTTAAACACCGTGGCAAAACAACTAGCCGTAAGGATTACTTTTGATGTATAAAGTAAAAATAAAAGAATAAAGACGTAGGTACTATTTTTAAGTTTAAAAAAAATTGTCATGGAAATACGCACACGACTACATATACAACTAGACGTAAATTTGTAGGCACTGTTCTCATCGCATCTGCGACGTGCGACGAGAAATACCTCTTCGAGAATTATATGGCGCGATGTTTTAATAGTGTAGTATGAGTTCGTATGCTGATGTTTTGATAGTGTAGTTTGGTTTTTGCAATGATTTACTAGTAATTTTTTTTAATTTTTTTTTCTGTTTGAAAACAAAATAAATTTCACGGTGTATATACACCGTAACCTTTTGAACTAATTTTTTTTAACATTGTATTGATCAAAAAATTTATCTTTTCGGTGTGTGAATTTTATACAGATTCTTAATATTTATTTATTATTTATTTTTTAAACAGTCACAACGGCGGAACATATTTGCAACAATAGAACATAAACATAAACAAAAGAAAAAAAGTCAATCTATAAACCCGCAATACGACTTGCAGCGACATCTATTGTCGAGTAGCTAAACTACATATTAATACCAGCCATCTTTTTTTGAAATAAATTAAATACCTTTCATATAATTTTGACCGGTGATTGTCTGAATGTAAATAATTTATAAAATAACACACTAATTCTCTATTTATGAATTCACAATATAAAGTAAAAATATTATTTTGATTTTTATTCCTTGCAATGTTTTAGAGTTCAAGACGAGTGAAACGATAACGAAACAAAACGTAATCATTTTAGTATCTGTGGCGTACTGCAAGCGACAAATTAAAAAAAGCTAGTGATAAATAATTATTGTGTTTTTCCATTATTTTTAATTAATATGGGGACAGAAGTAGCTATATCGTTTAGTACTTTACGTGCTCAACTAGAAAATGAAAAGAGTAGTTTGTTTAAAATAGATGAAAATATAAAAAAAATAGTGCAAACTACCGTAAGATTCAATGATAGGTTAGTAATCACCTTGAATGTAATTTTCATAGATTTATGTTTATGTTAGTATCTAATGTATGGTATATTTTTGTAGATTTAACTCCGCTGGAGACTATACCAGAGGTAACAATCGCACTGGAGGAAGAAATGCTTTTCAAGACGGGGGAAGTAATTCAAAAAACGATGAACAATATAATAAGCGTAAACATGAGACCAAAACAGTGTTCAGCAGGTACGTGTGTGTATCTAACTTGCAGGCAGCTGTAGTTACTGTGTACGTGCATTTTCAGTTACGTAATGTTACAAGTGCTATATAAATCGTATGCAAAAATCACGTCTTCATGACTGTTTACAAGCTACACTTCGTCAATCGATAAAAAATACCACAAAACAATTTAAAATACCAAATGAACCCATAATGAGTAGCATTATAGCCTTCTTTAATGATTTAATATCAAAGAATTTGGTATTGATGTTGCCTTCCATTTCTCAATAGTTGTCCTAATGTGATAACTCATAATTTATTACCATACTATAACTACATCTAGACTAGATAGCTACAAACAGACTTGTTTTAAAATTAATATTGACTTGATGGCCTTTAAACTTTCCAGGTTATCAGCACGAGTCCATGATAGTGATGGTGAGGATGAAGGACCTGGCACTAAGAAAGCTCGGGTACCTTCAGCAGTGTGTCGAGAGCTGCCCACTAGAGCCGATGTATTGCGGGCACAGGGTGATGATGAGCAGGCAAGGACTCGCAACAGACGCATATTTGGATCACTTCTGGGTACACTACAGAAATTCAAGCAGGAAGAAATAGTGCTGCAGACTAAGGTGAGGGACTTCATTATAATAAAAGTTACTTATTGCATAATACTCAATCTGCTGTTTACTAGTCATTACAAATTCTATTTCTTTCATTCATTCATTTTATTTGATAAAAATTTTATTAATATTATAACTTTCGTGAGACATACTTAATAAATTATATTTTTCCGCTTACACACGTAATTATTTGCTCATTAATATGAGCCTCTAGCATGGCTTAAAACTAGTCGAGTTCCTCGTCAAATAATAAAGTGATAATTTAATTCATATTAAAATATCATTAATATTTAAAATTTTATTAACACAGGAAGAAAAAAAGGCGCAAGTAGAACGTAAAATAGAAGAACAAGCTCGTCTAGAGAAGGAAAGGGAACAGAAGGAAAGGAAGACATTATTTGCTGAACGGGAACACAAGAAAGCCACTATCAAAGCCTTAGAAGCTAAAATGGCGCGAGTCCAGGAGTTTGAGAAGTGGGAGACTTCACAGAAGAGCCTAGCCAACTTCATACTGACTAAGACCAAACCACATGTTTATTGGCTGCCCAAGAAAATGTCAGAAAAAGCCACTGAGAAATTGGAATCCAGTAGGAAGTATCATGAAAGTAAGTTATTTTGTCAACATGTTCTGTTTACATATTAAATGAAGGTGGCACTGTTCCCAAGTGAGGATGATAAATAATTGTTTATTTTGGCACTTCATTGCTGTGTAAGACATTAACAAACTCATATTTGTTTACAATTTACAGCTAAATATGGTCCAATATATCGCAGTGAGTAATTACAAAAGAACCAATTTGATTCTATTCATTTATATAGCTTATAGAATGTAATTTTTTTTCAGCACCTTTGAAAGAGGTAGTACTTGGATGGATACAATATAATCTTTGTTTATTTTTTTTCATAATAGATTAAGCCTTAAAGTACTCAGCCACGCACAATAACAGTGTATAACAGCTGGCATCTGGCATTACTATCAGCCTGTTTCTTCATTATCTCAGGAATGTGATGTGAATTGTAGTTCCTCTATGTTTTAAACCTTCTGTATATTATGGCCATCACCCATTTCAAATAGATCATGAGAACGTGGATGTTTTGTTGTGACAGAATGATTGTATTCGCTTTATAAACATTGACTGTAGAGTTAACATGATTTAAACATAATCCTATCTGTTTTCCAGAATGCATGGTAAAGAAACGTCAGGAGCTACAAGAGGAACTTCAACGAATAGAGCATCGTTGTCTCCGAGTACGAGGACCTGGTACCAAGGAGAATGACCCTGACCATCATGATGGAGAGGAGCAGAAAGACGTAGATATGGTAAATAAGGACGAGAAGAAGAAACGAGATAAATTTGCAGCAGATGCTGATGAGAAAGAAGACAGCGATGGAGATGACAGACATGAAGAGGACTCAAAGGTTGAACAGCCAGCAGCTCAGGAACCTATGGGTAAGCATATATTTTATACAGCGAAAACTGCAACTCACAGACAATATTTTGAAACTAGGTAATTACATAGTGGCAAAAAATTATTTTCGAATTGATATGAATGTTTGTTGTTACAGAAATAGAAAATGTAAAAGAAGAACCAACTAAAGCAGAAACATCAATAGAGCAGAACACTAGTATGGATGCTGAGCCAGCCAATGAAGCTAGCCAGATATCTCTGGAGACTACACTCAACGACACGCAAGCCTCAGTTGACGCTGAGAACCATTCCTAACGGGGCTGGTTACCCAACTCCTCTGCACCGAGTTATATTATGGTGTCACCAAGTTTGAGAACAGTTGTGCTTACCCTGTATTGCTGTGTGATGTATCATAAGTGTGGGTGTGAAGAATATTTTAATAACATACAGACAGATTCTGCTCTTACAATGATGTAGGAATAAATTCACTGACAAATTGGTACAACTTTATTAAAATATTGTTCTGTAACTTGTTATTTGTTGTATGTAATAGCCTGGTGAATTATATGATACTGTACTTCCAATTTCATGAATAATACTAAAGTATCTGTTTGAATGTGTGGTTTAAAAATTATGGTAATTAATTATGAATTTTTGTCGCCAATCAAATAGAACACACTGATATTTGAGTATGAAATTATATATAACTAAAACACCAAAGCCTGTGCCAGACTAGACAGTTAATATGTACCCGTCCGTGTATATGTACTGCAATCTAACTTGTTCCATAGCTTGATATAAGTACCATTGTACATCAAGTCAACATTATGTCCCGAGTGAGTTGCATTAAGTTGGTGATAGCTTGGAGGTGTCTGGTGACATCTCATCAGTTACTGCCAGAAGAAGTTATCAAGTTTTGATATCAGTGTAACTTAGGACATTTATCATATATAGTGTCTATTATAGTGAATAGAAATACAAATATTTTACAGTTCCAACAGTAACGGCTAGACATTGGATTACATGCACTATCATTTATTCCATGACATGATACTCATATAATGCAATGTTTAGTACTGACTAGTACCTATTAGGCATGAAATAAAACAATGGGTTTGTTAAAAAAGTTAATTATTATATTATATAAACTTAATAATTTACAAAAACATCACAGTTTTATTTGCATTACACGAGGAAGCATGTGCTATTTATTATTTGGAATGAGAAAAACTTAGCAAGCAATCAAGCATTATCAATTTATTATAAATAGAGATTAAAAAGTACTCAATATTCTCTTGCTAATATTAAAACATCAGTCATTCCAAGAAACTATTGAGTCTGATATTATTTTCATAGGACTGTAGGGACCACTCAATTAGAATAGCAAGTGTTCCACATCCAACTTTCAATATTACATGATGTAAAGGTAAAAAACTAGAGCAACCTCATTCCTAGCTCCCTATACATACATAAATATTAGGACATACTAATCAAGTGTGAAGATCCTAGAAGCTATGTCGTCGAGCATCCAGTCCATGCCTTCCAGCAGGTTCTCTCCTGTCACGGCAGAACAGCGCACAATGCGCCAGTGGTGGGTTTTAATGCTATCTAGATCCAAAGCCTGAAATCAGATATTTTAGATATCAATAGAGAAATGTGCCAAGGTAGACTTCTTTTTCTTTCTAAGTCCTCATTAATTTCTCATCGTGGCATATCCTACCATTACTCTTTACATAGCACTTATATAAATCCACACAAATCTTGTAGTTCCTACACATGAGTGTGTATGACAGTTCTGGATCCCTGCACCTTGGTGACCATAGGTAGCAGTTTATCACAAGGTAATAAATTGTAATGAGCATTCAGAAAGTAATAAATTATTCTAATTTGGGCATTACTTCTCTAATTTCTTGTAATGTGAGTGCTCCAGGCAGATCAGACTTGTTAGCTAGCACAAGCAAAGTGGCTCCAGCCAGCCTCTCCTCACGGAGCAGAGAGTGGAGCTCACGAGCACAGTCCCAGAGACGTCGCGCGTCTGCACTGTCCACCACCCAGGCCACACCATCTGTACTTTCAAAGTAGTTCTTCCAATATGACCTGAAATAATATTAAACAAAAATTTTAAGGAATTGTTGATATAATAATGAGTTGGTATAATTCACTTTTTAGGTCAACTTATCTTACAACTGAAGTAAGGACAGATAGATAGTGTGGCAGATATTAAAATTAACGAATCTCGATCCTCAGGGAACTGACGTTTACTGGTGGACTATTTTACCTCAATGATTTTTGTCCTCCGACATCCCAAATGTTGAGCTTGTATCCACGGTGTTCAAGTGTCTTTATGTTAAAACCCAGCGTTGGAGATATAGTGTCGATGGGCTCACCATTGAACCGTTTCAATATTGTAGTCTTGCCGGCATTATCTAAACCCCTGAGTAGTAAATGCTAAGGAAATAAAGATATTAAATAGTGCAATAAAGAGGTTATTATCACTACAATTTAGTTTGCAAAGGATACAACATGAGGATTCTCATTTCTTTCTCTTTTTGTCGTAATTTCTTCAATATCGTGAGGAAACCCATTGTTGTTAGTTACTGATTTCGTCAAAATATTTACTAATTTCACTAACTTCTGCCTGTTTGTTTGTGTCTTGGCGTCATGCGTCATCTGGAAATTGATTGGTAATTTGACATTACATTTTGCAATACTTTTTTAAATAGGGCGTAGGGCCCTGCCTTGGCTCATTGCTAAGGTCACAGTTCTCTATTAGTGCTCAAATATTTATAATATTTAAATTTAGATTCAACGAATTTATTTCACTACTGTTGCAAATCAAATTCCGTAAAACAATATATTTTAAAATATTTAGAATGGTTTTTGCCGAATGAAATCACTAAGAAATCAACATTTTATCAATAATTCAGATTAATTACATTTTAATATATTATTACTGTAAATTTGAGAAAATCTAACAGTATTTCCCTGATTCCTTTTACTTCAATTCAGAATCTCATTAGAAAATTCTTTGTTTTGTCTGTAGAGACCATAGTGAAATCCCATAACATTCTTCAGGAAATCGAAATTGGAATCCATTAGTAACCATAGAGTAAAATATCCATCCATGGCCGATTTCGTCGCTGTCAAGTCTTTTATTTAATTTCTGTTTCTATTATGAAGCACCTTCGATGATTTTAAGTGGGTTTATAGTGTGGAAGTGATCGTGAGGCGGCGCGGTCTCGGTGATACTGCTCGTTGGCCGGCAGCACCATGTTCAGTGGCACGGTGCGAGTAAAGGTTTGCGAGGCGACGGGTCTCAGGCCGACCGACTTTCAGAAACGGCATAACATGACCTTCGGAAAGCCAGGTGAGCCTCATCTAACGGCTCGGGTGTCTCCCCAATATGTCATTGCGTATGAATGTGTAAAGATTTCCGATACAGGAGCATGATTTATTTGTAATTTTATATTTAAAGTAGGTGTAGCGTGTTTACCGAGATGGGTGTTGGTGTTAATATGTAAATACGGGGTATGGTTGCAGACGACCAGCCGATAGATCCGTACGTGTCGATAGATGCCGACGAGCACCATCTAGACCGTTCCAGCACCAAGCCCAAGACATTCGACCCTGTGTGGAATGAGACCTTTATTCACGAAGTCCATAATGTTGGCAGGTGTGTTATCACTCCATTGATTATTTGTTTGACATGTTATTCTTACTTCATTGTGGATTATTTAACTGTGTCTAGTGCTCTGTATCTTATTGGAATACACATTAAATACATTAATTGTGTGTGTGCTACTCATATGTATAAATATGGTACAATAACAGCTAACACTAAATTAAAAAACTCACTTAGGAGCACTAGGTCTTGTCATCATTACTAAAATAATACCAATTGGAATGTAAAACTTCTGACAGTGACATCATGTATGACTCACATGGGAATCAAACCCAATATATCATGTATGAACTGAGTACTTTATGATATTATGGAGTGTATGAAACAAGTGTGTAATGCTCTAGTTTGGGGATAACGGTGTTCCACGATGCTGCCATACCTCCAGATGACTTTGTGGCCAATTGCACAATCCCTTTTGAAGACCTTATGCACAGAGACAAGGATGCCACAGACTTTTGGGTGAGTACTACTGATAGTGATGTAGAGCTTTAGTCATTGTTTATAAAGTTACTTATTTAATCACTGATCTAATGTCAATGTTTAATGATTACTTAGATATTCTAAGAATAATTTTGAATTTGATTTATAGCCTCTAACACTTTAATTTATAAATTTCACAAATATCACAATTGAACTACCACTTTGATAAAAATTGGGCACAAGACTGATTAACAAGATCCTTAGATCAGTGTGTGTTTATCTAGTGTAATCCACAGATAAGATATAAGACACAGTGTTTACCTTTACAGTGTTATCAACAATTGACATAATATTTGTTTTGTTTGATAAACTGAGTTTGGTAGACAGTACTTATGTGATCTCTAGTCTCAAATTACTTGTGTGTCGTGATGAACAACTTCAGGAGAAGGTTTTCATGTCCTGATCCTAAATATGTTCAGTTAGAGGAAGAGGTGTATATTTGTGATCATTAGTGCTGTCTCTGTGTGTGTGAATCATATTGTTCATTCAGTTTTCCTGGTTTGTGATGGTCGCTGTGGTATTTATGTAATTGTGTGGGTACATTAAATGATTAGTACTGCTATTTTTGAGATGTGATATTCACTATGTTGTTTTGGTAATAGTTTTATATAAATGGTTCTTTATATTTAAAATAGGAATGTATACAAGTATGTTTTTTATAACATATTTATTTATTACAGCCATAGTTTTAAGAGTTACAACCAGACAACAAGTTATTAGATTAGAAAATCAACAATATTGAAACTAGCTACCAGCATTTCTTGGATTAAAACTGACCTACTTATATGTTATTCCCAACTACAATCTATCCCTGTGCCAAATGTTATTCAGATCTGTTCAGTAGTTTTCTGTAACAGATGTCTGTCCCTCCATTCATTCAAACTATGAAACAAAGTAGCTTCATCAACTTTTGTCAAGTTATTTACATAACAAGAATTACTAGAAGTAAATAATGTATACAATATAATAACCAGTAACTGCCTTGTATTGTCCTTAACTGATAATCACTTTATGCTAACAAAATATTGCTAAGGTAGTCAGGTTGGCAATCATTTTCCTGTTAAAACTTGATTATAATTATATTTATACACTTGTGTATAATTATATTTAGTCCCACTGTCCTATAGGTAAAGGCAGTTAGGCATGTAGTAACTGTAGGTATGTTACATTGTTCTCACACAATTGAACCAACAAAACTATGTAACTAAAGAATTGTATTGTGAACCTGATTGAAAAAGAGTATTGAAATTTCATGCTTGTTCTTCTCCACGGGAATCTACACCTTGGATTGAGCAATTAACTTTACTTTAAAATTATTTGTTGATATTCAAAAGCGGCTTCTTGGTCTAAATTAAATAAATGATTTTGACTTTGACTTTGACTATAGTTGTGATGTATGCTGTTTCCAGGTGGACCTAGAACCTCAGGGGAAGCTGCATCTGAAGATAGATCTGAAATGGAATTCTCAAGGTGAGCCACACTACCATATGTGTGATGTACCTATAGTTTATTCAAGGTATCCAATGTATTGCAATGATGTAGGTAGGGACATAATTATTTACAAATTGAATGTTATGTGGTAATTTATATGAGTTTTTGTTTAATTTTCCTTTTATCTCAACATGACATTCCTACCTATGTCACTGTTTAGTACAATTATAAACCTGAAATTAGTGCAGAATGATCAAAAATTTCATCAGCAAGTGTCTGAAGTGAAGTGCTTATACTTCTCTTTAGATTACTATGTTTTGGAAGTAGTTCCAACTACATGTCTTACTCAAGACAAGACCCTCTGTCTGGCTATTGAAAGATTTGTTCTGTATTTGGTGTATAATCCTGTGTCTGACTAATCTGGCGATCTCGTATACTGACATGACTATAACGACATACAAGAAAATAAGAGCACCACAGTTTTCGACAAAATGGCAAATGGGCTATTATCAAGAAGAGGTACTTATACCTATATATATATATATATATATGGTAAATCCGATAATACGATACCTCTTCATGATACGAATCGTCAAATCACACCACATGCCACTTGTAACTGTTATTTTATGAGTTTACTAGCTGTGCCCGCGACAGGTCCACCCCTCGGGGTGATAGCGTGATAATAATATGTAGCCCATATTTTGACCCGACTTGTTAGTAATATTCATGCAAAATTTGAAGTAAACCCACGCAGTACTTTTTGAGTTTAGCCCGGACACACATACAGACAAACAGACAAAAATTTAACAAACCATATTTTTGGCTTCGATATCGATGGTAGGTCACGTCCCAAGCATTCTTTTAAAAATATATTCAATGTACAGTTTTATTTTCCTACGATTTTATTATATGTATAGATTTTGTCTTCTGTCTCCTCAAATAATCTGCACTCGGCACCAAATCTGGTAATTCAGTATCTTGTGAGGCATATATTATACCTATTGTAAGTTCTATCTTGTATTGTCTTTGTACCAATGTAACCATTTATAATATGTTATTCTATCAAATATAGGCCAGTATTATTCGGGCATCCACTGGTTTCATTTCATATAAACACCGCACCTTACATGGCGACCCTGCCAGGATGGTCAACACGCGCGCCGCGAATTTGAGACGTTCGAGTGTACTGTGTACCCACCTAAGTACCGCGAATTATTAGTAACAATGGAGTTAGTGCAGATTTATTGTAATTACGAACTTGACGTGAGAGTACGTATAATCTACGACCATGGGAAAACAACAATCTAAGGAAGAGACCTTCGTTATCCAAAACGCTGCAGGCAGTAACGAGGCGAAAACTGACGAAATTCGTTTTCATATGTCTATAACAAACATTTTCCTGGCGATTATCCTGTTGGTTATACTACTTGGACTGATATACTTCGTGTACCGGCTGTATAGAAGATGCCATGTACGATGGATAACAAATGAGATCAATCGGATCACTATGATGAGGAGATCTTTTCTTCGTCGTCGTTTGCAGTCGGGGGTCAACGAGAACACGGCTAAAACATTTTCAGAAGATATGGTGTGAAACATAAAAGTGTGTAAAAAAAAGTGCCATAAGTGAAAAATAAAAAAAAAAAGTGCTTAAAAAGTATTGGTGCGGAAAAGTATAAATCGGTTTTAATCGTTTCAATAATCATATGCAAATATTATATCAATCGAGTTGCGTAATATCTTAGTTTTAAAACAATGCAGTGCCTTACCAAATACGGACTGAACGTGAATTGAACTTTGGACTATGGTATTAATTGCGTTTGTTTGCATTCGTACTTAATTATAAAACTTAATACTAATGTTATAATATGAATAGTTAACATGAATAGTTAAGTTAGTATAGTTAGAAATAGTTGTGGTGTTAAGTACCTAATGGATATAATTTTGACATTATATAATGATTTAAAGAAAATAAGAATAAATTTAATAAAGTTAGGACCGAAACGAAGGACAGAGAGAGTATTGGAAAAGAAGGTAATTGAAGTTGATGCTATTTATCAACAGTATGAGACTTGGTTAATTGATTTTAATGATAAAGTTAAGAATAAATATTATAGTAGCCAAGATATTTTATTAATACAGAATCATTGTCGTGAATTTTTAGCTTTATATGAGGATAGTTTATTGTTGTGTCAGAGTGATAAATCAGATTATTTTTCGAAGATGAGTTCATTTGATTTAAAAATTGCCTTGAGCCTTTTACCTGTTATGACAAATGAGGAGTCTAATACGAAGCAATTGATTGATAATATAGTCTATTATAATTCTATTTTAAAAGAAAATTCTTGTAAACAAAACTTAATAAACTTCGTGCTGAAAAGTAGACTTTCTCAAGAAGCTAAGATAAAGTTAAAAGCGAAATATGATACTGTAGACGAGTTAATAAATGATATGAGAAGTGTGTTATTATGTAAGAAAGCTGCAACGGCAATACAAAATAAGTTGCAAAAAATTAAACAAAATGAAAGTTCAATTGCGGATTACGGGAAGGACATTACAGAATTATTTGTAGATCTGACGATTGCGCAAGCCGATGGCAATGATCAATGCTATAATATATTAAAACCAATAAACGAACAAATGGCAATTAAGCAGTTTGCCAGTGGGTTGCGGAATCGTAGATTAAGTACGATTATATCTGCTAGAAATTACAGCTCGCTTAAAGATGCTGTCCAGGCTGCACAAGACGAGGAAGTCACCATAGGTGCACCTTCTGGAGAAGTTATGGGTATGTACAAACAGCCTTATAATAATTTTTATAACAGGAACCATTCAAATAATTATAGAGGTAGAGGCCAGCGTGGAGGTCGCAGTAACTTTTATTCGTACAGAGGACGAGGCCGAGGAGCGCAGCATGGAGCCCACTTTGATTCTCGAGGACAGTGGACTCGAGGAGGAACTACCGGTCGCAAACAATATAGAGGTAAATTTTATAATTCAAACAGAGGAAATCAAGGGATGCGTAAAGAACGCAACGTTAATTTAATGCAAAATTCGGAAACAGCGGGAGAATCAGAAGTAACATCTAATCAGTTTTTTCGTGAATAACGGTGAAAAAGTTATTTTATCTAGTGATAGTAATTGTTACATTTATTTGCATTCGCCATCATATCGTAATAAGAAACATTATTTTTTAGTAGACTCTGGAGCATCGTTGTCAGCATGTACGTATAAACATGCTCTAGAATGTAACATTCCTATCCATAAAGAGACTGTAACAATAAACGGTTTAGGTGGCAAAGTACAAGCAATCGGATACCTATATTTATCATTCTTCTTGAATGATGAAACAATTAGTCAGAAGTTTTATGTTTTTAATAGCTTGCCCATTAAGGGAAGTGGAATATTAGGCCGTGATTTCTTAAGCAAGTTTAAAGCTCAATTAGATTTTCATAAAAATATTTTAACATTACATAATAACATTTCAACTTTTTCTTTGCCTTTGATAAATAAACATAGTGTTACTTTTGACATTCCTGCTAGAAGTGAGTCAATACATTTTGTACATACGAACATCGATGAAGATTGTGTAGTGTCATCAAAAGAATTGAGAGATGGAGTGTTTTTAGCAAGCTCTATAGGTAGTCCTCAAAACGGATTAATACCTATTCGGATATTAAATGTAACTGAAAATGACTTAACACTTACAGAAATAGAGCCTACTATTGAGAAACTTAGTAAGTTTAATGTTTGCGTATTCGATAAAACACAAAAAACGCTGATAGAGTAAAAAAGTTATTTTCATTAATGAAATTGAAACATTTAAATGATGAGGAACAGAAAACTATTGAAAACATTTGCGCAAAGTATTCAGATATATTCTACCTTCCAGGAGATCAGTTAACTACAACAGATATATATCATACTATTTCTGTAAAGCCTAACACAAATCCAGTATTTTCAAAACAATATCGTTTGCCATATTCTCAAAAAGATGAAGTTAAACGCCAAATTAATAAAATGTTAGAAGAAGGTATAATTGAGCCTAGCAAAAGCGATTGGTCAAGTCCGATACTATTAGTACCCAAAAAGTCAGATACAACGGAAGATAAAAAATGGCGATTAGTGGTTGACTATCGGAAGCTGAACAATTGTATAGAGGACGATAAGTTTCCATTACCAGATATCACCGAAATTTTAGAATCATTGACGGGTAGTATTTATTTTACGCATTTAGATTTACATCAGGGTTATTACAATGTAAAGTTAGATGAAAATAGCAGAAAATTCACAGCTTTTTATTCAGGACAATACCAGATGACGCGTATGCCGATGGGACTGAAAACTAGTCCAAGTTCTTTTTCAAGAATGATAACGATGGCAATGGCTGGTCTAAATAATGAAAAGTGTTTAATATACTTGGACGATTTGATTGTGTTTGGCCGAAATTTGACAGTTCATAACAAGAATTTGCAAGATATATTTGAACGGTTAAGGGCTGTTAACTTAAAACTAAATCCAGCAAAATGTGATTTTCTAAGGAAAGAAATTCTGTATTTAGGACATGTTATTTCAAGTGAGGGCATAATGCCTGATCCTGCAAAAATAAGTACTGTGCAAAATTATCCGCGCCCCACAAATACAGACGAAGTAAAACGATTTGTAGCTTTTACTAACTATTATCGAAAGTTTTTACCAAAATTCGCTGAAATTGCACATCCTTTAAATAAATTGACTAGAAAAGGCGTACCATTTGAATGGAATACCAAATGTGAACAATCTTTTGAAACGTTGAAACAACGTTTAGCAAGCCCACCTATATTACAGTACCCGGACTTTTCAGATCAAAATCGTTTCATTGTTCAAACCGATGCGTCAAACAATGCCATAGGAGCAATTTTATCTAATAGGAACGGATTACCAATAGCTTACGCTAGTAGAAGTTTAAACAAAGGCGAAAAGAACTATCCAGTAATTGAAAAGGAACTTCTTGCGATAGTTTGGGCTGTTAAGTATTTTCGCCCATACTTGTATGGTCGACCTTTTAAAATACTTACAGACCACAAACCACTGGTTTACTTGTTTAACATGAAAGATCCTTCTAGTAGACTTATGAAATTCAGAATGACGTTAGAAGAATACAACTTCGAAGTACAGTATGTTAAAGGTTCTGACAATGCAGCTGCAGATGCACTGTCTAGAATCACTTCAAAGGATTTGAAAGAGATGCATGAAAGTGTGTTGAATGTAATGACGAGAGCACAAGCAAGAAAATTATATAATACTAATTCTGCGGTAGATATGGATACTTCAGACTTGAGGCCTGATCAACCGAAAGTCGTAAGCACCCACATCAAACCGAAAGAATCAGTTGAACTAAGATTTATTGATATTAAAGGATTAGAGAACTTAAGGAAACTAAGAATAATTACGAAAGAAAACAAAATATTGTGTTACGTTGAAAGTAAAAGGACTATTTATGTGAAATTTTTAAACTCTCAATCGCAAATGACGCGAGACGAGTTTGTGAGAGAGATTGATAAATTTTGCATTTTGTTAAATATAGAAGAAATATACATATTAAAAAACAAAGATAATGATATTTTCATAAAAAAGTTGTTAGAAGAGATTAAAAATAATAAGAGTAGGTGCGGACCGCGCATATGTATTTTAAGTGATGTAAAAAGAATTGAGAATAAGGATGATAAAAAAGTTATCTTAAATGACTTCCATCTCTTACCTAGTAGTGGCCATGCTGGTATGAGACGGATGTCAAACAATATAAAGAAATACTATTTCTGGCCCGGTATTGATAACGATGTACGGGAATTCGTAAAACGTTGCGATAAGTGTCAGCGACAAAAGTATTCACTACCAAAGAAAGAACCAATGGTGATTACTAGTACTGCAAATACTGCATTTGAAAAGATATTTTTAGACCTTGTTGGTCCTTTGGAGACAGATAACGATAATTTTACATACGTATTAACTTTACAATGTGAACTCACGAAATATGTGGAAGGCTATCCCTTAATTTCCAAAAAAGCAGATGAGGTGGCAAGATCTTTTGTAAATAACTTTATTCTAAGGTACGGCGTGCCAAAAGTAATCGCAACAGATCGAGGTAAGGAGTTTTTATCGGAAATATTTCAAAAGGTTTGTACATTACTTAACATTGAACAATTAAATTCTACAGCATACCATCACCAATCAATTGGAGCCCTAGAAGTTACTCATAAACATTTGAATGCGTTTTTGCGTATTCAAACGGAGAACCATCCTGAGTTGTGGAGTAAGTGGATTCCATTTTGGTGTTTTGCTTACAATACAGGCGTACATACAGAGACAGGATTTACTCCCTACGAGTTGGTGTTCGGTAAGAAATGTTCTCTTCCCAGTAATCTGACCAATGACTTAGAACCTCTTTATAATTTCGAGAGTTATCCACATGAGTTAAAATACCGTTTGCAACTTTCTCAAAGAGAAGCAAGAAATAATCTTGTAAAAAGTAAGATGAATAGAAAATTAATGTATGACAAATATGTTAATCCTGTTAGTTATAAAGAAAATGACTTAATTTTAGTTAAAAATGATACACTAGGTAAATTAGATAGCATTTATTCTGGTCCTTACAAAGTAGTTAAAGACATACCACCAAACGTAGAGATTATAAATAAATATGGGAAAAAAGATATTATTCATAAAAACCGTACGAAACCATACAATACAACTTGATTTTAATTTAACTATCATGTAAACGTCATTCCTATGTTTTGTATGTACTTACCATGTTTATTCCTATGTTTAATTAAAAATAATGCTAAAATAATATATTTCCACCTAAGTGTATACACTATTATTTTGTAAAAAAAAAAAAAAAAGAAACCTATTTTTTTTTTTTTTCAATAAGAGCGGTGATGTGAGGCATATATTATACCTATTGTAAGTTCTATCTTGTATTGTCTTTGTACCAATGTAACCATTTATAATATGTTATTCTATCAAATATAGGCCAGTATTATTCGGGCATCCACTGGTTTCATTTCATATAAACACCGCACCTTACAATCTTCACAATATAAAGCGATGAAATGTGACCTAATTTTTTTGTAACAAAATAGAGGTTTCTTTTATTTACCAAGCGTGCGGTGCTAGCACAGTGATAAGTATGTGCGACTGTTTATTGTACTAGGATTATACAATTACACATTACTGGCGGGTTTCTTATTTCTAAAATGTATAACTCAAACATGGAATGAATTCAGCTAGGTTATTCTGTAAGATGACATTTCGACCTATTAAAGTGAGCTCGATCACATTCTCGCCGGTCATTGGTCGAGATTATTCTCACAACCAATCACATGGCGGAAAGCAGTCGAGCTCACTTCAAGAATTGACATCTTACAGAATAGTCTAGCTGTGCTTCGTAACATTTGATCATGGCTAAAGTACCCAAAAGATCGGTAACGCATTTGTTACACCTCTGGTGTTTTGAGAGTCTATGGGCGGCGCCGATTGCTCACCATCAGGTGATCCGTCTGCTCGCTTTTTCCATACAAAGTCAATTTAAAAAATAGTGCGAGCATTCGCCAGATGTCTACGCATCTTAATCCCGAGACTAAATATTTGTGATAAACTTCAAGCCCCCAAAGGAACAGGTTGCTCATAGGTAAGCGTGCTCCGTCGTCGGCCACATCATCGCGGGATGGTGGTCAAACGTCAACTTATCAAATTTAAAAAAAGATAATATCAGGAAGGTCCTAGTATTATCACAAGTATTATTTTAATGAATTGTTGAAAGTAATTTTAGTCGAGTGTAGAGTCATCATCAGACAGTGTCTGGATATACCCAATAAAACCATTACACTTTCTATTTTGTCGCAAGTGTAAAAAGCTCCATGTGAAACATTAGATCACATCTGTTGTACAAGTGTCCATGTCATTTTATTGTTAGTATTATTTATTTATATTGGTTGACGTGGTACACACCAGTTATATTAATCAAGGACAACAGGAAATTTTATTTTTCTTGATTAGCAACCGAAACAGGTAAATTTAATTAAAATCCGAAATTACAAAAGAAATGTCAGTATTTGCCATATTGGGTTTGCTATGCATTTAGTTATGTCTAGTTTAGTTACAAATATCAGGAGACTAGGAGAAAGAAGTTATGTGGTGGTCAGGGACTCACTTTCCCTACATGACACATTTATAAAGTGACTGCTCGGTTGGCGCGGGTTCGATTCTCGCATAGAACACCTCTTTGTGTGATCCACAGATTGTTGTTTCGGGTCTGGGTGCCCGGTCATGACATGACATGTATGTATGAAAATTCTAGTGTGGGGCAACGTTTTATGAAAAAAATGGTAAATGTATTAGTTGGTGAGCATTAATCATCTGGTAGGCACTAGTTATATTCCGGCGAGCCGTAGTAGGGTTGCGTTGTGATCGTGCGTGCGTGTGGCAGCGGGCGTGGAGGCGCCGCGCGGGGCGGGCGCGGGCGCGGGCGCGGCCGGACGCGAGTTCAAGGAGGGCGCCGGCTTCGCGCGCCGCCGCGGGGCCATGCGCCGCCGCGTGCACCAGGTCAACGGACACAAGTTCATGGCCACCTTCCTGCGGCAGCCCACCTTCTGCAGCCACTGCAGGGAGTTCATCTGGTGAGCATACCGTCGACTCGGGCATTATAACTAACTGGCAAAACAAACAACTCGGTGACGGATAATGATGGTGTTATTTCTTTCCTCAGGGGTTTAGGGAAGCAAGGCTATCAATGTCAAGGTAAGCATCCCGATACCAGCACAGGACACTGACTGCTTCCAGCCGAGCGCCAACTAACAGAGTGTTGTATTGCAGTATGTACGTGCGTGGTCCACAAGCGCTGCCACTCGTCCGTCGTGACCAAGTGCCCGGGTATGAAGGAAGAGGTAAGAGTAAGTAAACCAATGGCAGTATTAGTACATCACTACGTGCCTGTACCGCCGCGCAGTGCCCTGACGGTATGTCCTTGCAGCAACAGAGCGCGGTGGGCGTGTCCGGGGGGCAGCGGTTCAACGTGAACGTGCCGCACCGGTTCGTGGTGCACTCCTACAAGCGGTTCACGTTCTGCGACCACTGCGGCTCACTGCTCTACGGACTCATCAAGCAAGGACTGCAGTGTGAAGGTCAGAACTTGCACTATACTTGAGATTTACTTTGATTATGTGAAACAGTCTTGGAAGATTTCAAAAAAGCGATTGACTTGTGACTTCTTTAAATTACTTTAGCATTAATATTGGCATGATTTCATTGTCTTAGAATACTCGTCATATTTACCACTACATTTTTTATTTTTTGTCGTTGAGATATTCCCAGTAATAGTGTCGATATATAAATGTTCTTCCATACAAATCTTAATCTAACAATAATGGACACGATAATTATCAAATTTTTAAGCACGCAGTTTTTAACTTTTAAATAAGATCAAATTGTTTCAGTTAAAATAAAGAATATCTTATATAAAATAGTCGTTTTTATTTTTTGCGATGTATATTGCAGTATGCTCCATGAACGTGCACAAGCGATGTCACAAGAACGTGGCGAACAACTGCGGCATCAACACCAAGATGATGGCGGAGATACTCAACGAGATGGGCATCTCCCCGGACAAGAACCCACGACCCCGCCCTTCCAAGGTAATGCACAATACTGCTAAGTTTACTGGACATCGCTCATCACTAACTCTCGTCGGTTACATTGTATTGGATTGGCTAGCAAATATCTCCGGAAACATAATCTTTGGTCATACTAGTTGGAGGAATCTAGTGGTCTTGCTTGCGGGTGATATTTTGGTTGCTTTCGGGTTTAAAAGTGGGTCAAGTGTGGGTTTTGACGAAACATAGACCTGCCAAAGAATTTGACAGAGGGGGAAAAAGATAAACATGCATATTAACACAAATCGAGAGATAGCACAGAGTAGGCAGTAGTAATATATTAACACACGGTTATACATAGTTATAGTGGGTGCATGTAAAGTCTGTGTTGAAATGGGCACCAGTCCAAGCAGTCTTGGCGGTCATGTTCTACCTGTATCCTCATGTGAGTGGTGAAGGGCAGAAGTAGTTCTGTGGGAGGGGTGTAGGTGCCAGTACGTGGCGGCGCCAGTACGTGGCGGCACCAGTACGTGGCGGCGCCAGTACGTGGCGGCGCCAGTAATGTGTGGTGTGTGCAGTACCTCAACGCGGCGCTGCTGGAGGGCGCGCCCGACCTGGCCGCGGCCGGGGACGCAGACAAGGGGGACAAGGACGACGACAAAGGTAACTACTGCATACCTTACATTGACGACGACTTGCACACATTATACTAGGCTTCTACGTCCAACACTCGTTTTATACAGAGCTAATACTAATATTACTAGTTTGTACAATTATAGATTGATTAACTTAGGCATAATAATTCATATCAAGGTAGCACTGTAAGACAGATGAGATGGCTTACCAGACTATATAATTTATAGGGTAATAATGCCATCATAATAATATGCCATTCATGACAGCCATGTGTGATAATATAAAGTTAGACATGTAAGGTTTGTTCTTAGTCCTACATAAATCTAGCGATCGAGAATTTTGTAATAATTAAAGTAAAGAGCTTGAAACTAGAAGAGTGGTCAGTTAATACTCGGTACACATGTGTAGCTTGCTAGTAATGTCTAGTGTGTATTGTCCCGTAGTGTCATGTCACACATACTTTAGTTCCGAGTACAATGTTATGTAGCAGTAAGTAGTGTCTGTGTGACGTCGTAGTGGCGAGCGTCACTTGTATGCACCGTGCTCACTATATGCTCTGCTTTGTCATTGGTTAGCTGCAGTCGATACAAAGTCGTGTCCATGATATTCTAAAACATGATAGACGACATAGTTCATGCTTGTTTGCCCTCATTAAAAAGTTGACTCTATTTCGATTTGCTGCAATTTATTCAAACTAAAAGCTTTCATGATATTCGTTTTGAGTAGTGATTGTACGTAATATGAGAATAAGAAAATGGTGTAGTGAGCGCAGTGCATTCAGTACTCGAGTATAGTCCCGTGCCACGGCGCACCGCTTTGTGTGTTTGTTACGTTTATACCAGTATTGCTTATTTTATACTATTTTATGTTATACACCATGTATTTATTTACCTTTTGTTCTAATAAAGCGTTGGTTATACTTTGGTTGTTTCAATGCCATGATTGAAGCACGCGAGGTCCGTGTAGAGTAACGTTCCGTGTGACGTAGGTGTAGTGGCGCCGGCGTGGGCCCCGCACTGGGCCGACCTCGCCGACATATTCACCTGCTACGACGCAGACATCGCAGGTGCACTCTCTGTACACTGTACTCTGTACGCTGTACACTGTACACTGTACACTACACTGTACACTGTACACTACACTGTACACTGTCTGCCCCACACTGGACACGTACAGTGCGGGCGGACGCATGCTCGCTTTGTGTGTTGCTTGTACGTTGTACTGTCAGGACAATGGTGCGGGTTGACATACAACTTATTTCACACACTGATGCCGTAGATAAATATCTTAAGGTTTAATTTGGAAACGATATTAAGGGAGTGCAAGAAGTTGCCTGGCACAGACGCTTGTTATCTTATTTTTTTACTTGACCCGGTGACATAGTAAGTATATGTCGCCAGTAGCGAGCCGCGGCGGTGGGAGGCTCTAACGCTGTGCTGGTGTAGTTGCAGACTAACTCGGACCGTACTGTCCTGTAATATAAGTATTTATTTATTTTAATATCTATGTAGCTGGACTGACCTTCTTGCTCTCTGTGCACAAACTAAAATAAATTTTGCCGCGACTATACGGCTTCATGGTAAAACACTTAAAATATGATCAAAGTAATGGAGAGACAAAGTATACCGAATTCCTATAGTCGTTGCCTCATGTAGAAGTGGGGGGAAGTGCATGATTGGGAGTTATAACGATTATAATTGGTAACATTTGGCGATAACAATAATAAGCAGATGTTTGGGAATATTGTGGAACTATCTTCTTAATGTTGGTATTTCTTACTCAATAACGGTTATGGATGTTTGTCAATATTGTTCACTCGTGGTCTGCTTACTGAATTGTTCTACAAGCTTGCACTACTGTCCTTCAAGTTTCTAGCTGTACGGAGGGTGGGGAGCACTTCATGGTGATGTATACTTGTATAGGCCGCCAGGGACGCGGGCAGACTGTACCGGTCCCTGGCGGCCTGCTGCAGGCTGTGGACTACTGAGTGCTGTCTGTACAGGGGAGGAGTGCGCGGGGGGACAGGACAAGGTGTCGCTCGACGACTTCCACTTCATCAAGGTGCTGGGCAAGGGGTCCTTCGGGAAGGTCATGCTGGCGGAGAAGAAGGGCACGGATGAGGTGTACGCCGTGAAGGTGCTGAAGAAGGACGCCATCATCCAGGACGACGACGTGGAGTGCACGCTGACGGAGCGGCGCGTGCTGGCGCTGGCGGCGCGCCACCCGTTCCTGACGGCGCTGCACTGCGCCTTCCAGACCCGCGAGCGCCTGTTCTTCGTCATGGAGTACGTGGACGGCGGCGACCTCATGTTCCAGATCCAGCGCGCGCGCAAGTTCGACGAGCCGCGCGCGCGCTTCTACGCCGCGGAGGTCACGCTCGCGCTCACCTTCCTGCACCAGCACGGCGTCATCTACCGGGACCTCAAGCTCGACAACATCCTGCTGGACAGCGACGGCCACTGCAAGCTGGCCGACTTCGGCATGTGCAAGGAGGGCATACTCGGTCAGTACTCCCTGTACTACTACTGCCTGCTTCGCAGGTGGGTGCCTGGTACCCACTGGGCTGCCCTGTGAAATTATGAGAGTTGAGGGCGCGTTCTTGCCATTTAAAGCAATTAATCGGGTACCTTGCAAATACTGACCACTTTGTTTGTGTTTAACCCGCAGATGGCGCCACCACGACTACATTCTGTGGAACGCCCGACTACATCGCACCAGAGGTCAGTACCCGTATGAAGTTATAGTCTCTTGTTGCCGTACCTTATGGAGCCCAATCCGGTGTGGATTGGCCCAAAAGTGGCAATATCTCACCATCAGAAGACCCGTCAGCTCGTTAACCGTTGTGGCTTGATGTCTAGTTAAAATAAAAAACAAGTTACTATTTAATTTATATTGATAACATTCTTGGCCATTTTTTACATTTCCTTTCTATGTTAGATGTTTCGCGATAGTGTACTTAGTGCTAAGTAGACTGATATATAACAGAGTGGGTTCAGTAGTAGTGTATGGTCTCAGATCCTGCAAGAGTTGGAGTACGGTCCGTCAGTGGACTGGTGGGCGCTGGGAGTGTTGCTGTACGAGATGTTGGCGGGTCAGCCTCCCTTCGAGGCCGACAACGAGGACGACCTGTTCGAGTCCATCCTGCACGACGACGTGCTCTACCCTGTCTGGCTCTCCAAGGAGGCCGTCTCCATACTCAAAGGTTACATTTTATTTCACTGACTGACTCAAGCTTTTATTTAATTTCACTTGTGTTTAGTAGAATTTTTGAAACGAACAGTATCTGATTGTGTATGGCAGGGTTCATGACAAAGAACCCAGTCCGTCGCCTGGGAGTATGCGGCGGCGCGGCCGGTATCCGCGCGCACGTGTTCTTCAAGGACATGGACTGGGACGCCCTCGCGCAGCGCAGGCTGCGGCCTCCCTTCCGACCCAAGCTCGTGAGTATCGCCCTCCTACACCCCTCCCCTAGCTCCCCCTTTACCATGAGCCCCCACTGATGAGTCGTCGTTTTGTTAAAGAAGAGCAAGCGCGAGGCCGCCAACTTCGACGCGGAGTTCACGAAGGAGGAGCCCGTCCTCACTCCCGTGCCGCACGACGTCGTCAGAGCCATCAACCAGGTACGTCCCCTCCACGCTGGAGCCACTGTACTGGTGTACTGGGTACCCACAGGCCACTGACGGAGCTGTATGTCGTGTGTCGCAGGAGGAGTTCCGCGGGTTCTCGTTCGTCAACAAGGACTTCAACCCGGCGCCGGCGGCCGACAAACCGGCGCAGGCCTGAGGGGGGGCGCGGGGGGCGGAGGCCGAGCTGTCTCTAGTCACGCGGGGGGCGCAGGCCGAGCTGTCTGTAGTGACGCGGGGGGCGAAGGCCGAGCTGTCTCTAGTCACGCGGCGCCGAAGCGCACGCGCACGTTTATGTTACCGTAGTAGTAGCGCGCGACCACTCGCTGTAACGGCGTCGGACGAAGTATTATTTTTGTTACGTTTTATTAATTACTTTGTACGTATTTTGAATGTACGTTGTCTGTCTTTAGTGTATGTTAGTTTAGGTGCGCTCGAGTCTCTCACTGCGATATTTTTATATCACGTGGACGCAATTTCACTAAAATGACTCGACAGGATCTTTCGTCATAATAGGTAAAGTTTAAACGCTAAGCAATCGATCGATACAAGCCGAGTAAGTAATTGCGTCTGATATTTGTACAATCACAATAGCAGGCGGGCGGGGCAGCCCGCGGCCACACTGCCGTCTGAAGCGATCCGACAGACGAATACCTCAAGTAACAAGTACGCTTACGTGTGTCGAGCTCGAACTGTCTCGTACCGCGCCGGGGCCCATACTCGTGGCGCCGTAACAAGCAGCTTTAAATATCTCGTAGCGTTGTACAGACGTTGCCAAACTCGACTTGCCCACGGATATCTTATGATGTTTCTGTCCAGTAGTTCCCACGTGGGACACTTCACTCCACTGATGACTATAAATACAAGAAATATACAAAGTGTTGGTTCGGTGACTATAATGTTTTCCATGGAGTCCTATATTGATGGTATAGAGCAATTATGAATTGTTGTAAATATTGAACAATACATAGTATGCGGTACGTGGAAGCTGTAAACCCCATATAAGCATTAGTAGAGAGTTATTGTTGCGAGTACTTGGTGTCTGTGTGTGTGTGCTGGGGACGGATGTAGGAGTGTCGCTGTAGTGGAAGTTCTTTTATTAAAGTTACGACGTACCTATTTATCGGTGCTTTGAATTTAAACTCGATGTTTTTGTATTGATTGGGTGTTGTGTTCGTACAGTCTCCCCCTCTAGGCACTGGCGTTAGAACTAATAGTCGAACATTTCGGTTGGATCCCTCGCGCGTAATGTTTATTTGAATGAGAAGTCGTCTACGCTGTACAGGTGGAAATAAAATAAGGTTTAACTTGCAGAGTATATTTATTGTTGAAAAGAATATTTACATTTATATAGATTATACTTTATACCGTGGAGTTTAAGTGTCGTTATCTGACTTGTCAGAGTTCAGGTGTACTCGCGTGAGAGACGTGTCCAGGGAGAGATATCGCTTCCGTAGTTAGGTGGAGGGCGATATTAGTAATATAGTACCGAGCGGGCGACCCCGCGGGCTGCGCGAGTGCAGTAGTCGAGTACGTGTTGCTTCTAGTCCCGCGTCTCGCGACGTTCCTCCAATACTCAGCCATGTGTTAGTGCACTACCGTGGCGCGCCTCGTGCGGCAGGGTATGCCGTGTACACTGCGGCACGAGCGCGTGTCGGCTACTTGAGATTCTCTTTACATAATATTTTGTTACATTTTTTTACGAAATATTTTAATTATATTTTGATCGTACTTTAAGTACATATTATTTTTATATTATTGTCTGTGTGTTATAGTCAACGTTTTGTTTACTTTGTTAATCAGGTAGATAATTATTTATTAATCAATATATAGTAAGGATTAGTTGGAGAGTATGTCTTGTATATGTGTGAGGCGCTGTATTCTGAGTTAAGTATTATTTGATTAGTTGTAGTTACGATGTAATACCAAAGTTTGAGTTGAGTACAGACCACGGTGCGTGGGGACAGACACTCACGCGCCCGCCCGGCGATAGCACAAACGTATTGCTTTATGTAGTCGTTAGTGTATAATATTATATTAACTAATCTAATAACTATATTATAATATAAATCTCTGTACGTGTTCCCGTTATTATTGCTATTCATTAACTCTTGTGTTTCATATGTTTATCTTTGGGTGCGTGTAGTGGTTGCATCTTATTATCTACGCACTAAGGCTTAGTTTACTTTGTTAAGATGTCTTGATTTTGTGGCCATTTAATTTGTAGCGCGGAGACAAGGCATGCACCGGCTGCCGCCCGCAGTATCATGAAGCAGGCGTGTCAATGAGGCATCGGTAGATAGAGTACAGGATACTAAGGGCGAGCCAGTGCAGGCCGGCCTCGCGCTCACGTGGACGTCGAGAGTTCATTTTGATGTGGATCGTCATACTAATATAAAGTAAATTAAATAGGCATAGAGTATGATAGTGGTACGTCACGTGTGCCGGCAGATGGCGGCACACGTCGAGTTATTAATTTATTCGTAAATATTTCATAGTTGTGTGTTGTTCACATTGTGGTTTTTTATTCGTACGCTGTGTGAGTGGGAGCGAGGCCGCGGCGCAGTACTAGTATACCCTCTAAATATATATATATACGGCGCCGCGCCGCCCAGTCCTTGTACTTACGTTGACGTCGGGCCCGCCGGAGACTCACGACGCTACATGTGATGGACAGTGAATGTTGCCCGAGTAGTCCGCGCTGTAATGGCGCTCGCTCCGCACTGTGTGTGTGTGTGTGTGTGTGTGTACGTACGTACGTGTGTGTAGCTGTGATTACGTTGCTATGTACGAGTACTCTAACTCCGGTCGCACATGTGTTCTCATTTCCGACCTTATTGCAAGAAAACTTAAGCGAAACGTTTTTGAAAATATTTTTTTTTTTTGAAATTTTACACAATCACTTTATTTAATCGTGAAGTTCAAATGTATTATTATTGTTTGAAGATGTTATAACTTTATTGATTATTACGTAATAGCTGATAATTAAACGTAGTACAATTTAAAGTGTAGTCGGAGCGTACTGCAGTCGCTGCGTGTTATGTACAAACATGAAGACAGAGCACAAAGTAAAGCTATTTATATAGAGAGAGCACACGCCACATAGATATATTTATACTGTTTGTAGGCGAGGAGCGCGTGCGCCGCCACGTGTGTACTCCCATAGGGAATGTTAAATATGTACCGATACAATTACCTCCTTAACTAGTTAAATGAAAGTAAACGCTTTATGTCTGTCTGTCACCGACTGTGCCAAAGTATCCCATCGTGTAACAGGTGACCATCGTTCTCGTCGCCCGCCACCGCCAGTACCGCGCCGCGTACTGCGCAGTGTCGGCCGGGAACCAGTCTCACGTCTGTAATAAATAGCTTCCTCCAGCTTGTGCTGTCCAGTGCTGTCACTGCTGTACTGCACGCGGGCCGTGGCTCGGACTATACGACTGGTTCTGCCCGGTGACATGGCTCATAGCATCACACGACCCAGTATTGACATCGTACAGTCATCTACAAAATGGCAAATGTTCTCAAGTAAAACATTTTGTTTGGCCTAACGCAGTAAAAGATAATGAACAATATTGTTGTAATATTGTAATATTTGTTGTGATATTATCACAAGCCCAGTGAGGCCACGCGACATGAGCGAGTCGTATAGTCCGAGCCAGTCCCACGCGTGCAGAAGTCGCTCGTTGTCCAGTAACAGAAACGAAGAGTAATAGAGTTACACTGTTTAATGCCATTTTGTAACATAAGCCATATTTACGCTAGCTGTAACTTGACATATCACGCTGTATTATTTTGTCTATGTATTTTATATTTAATTATTGTTGTCGGCTTCTGGCTGCGTCCGAGCAATGCATTGTAGTTACCAGAGTGTCCGCGTGCACTCAGTCCGTCATCTATCTACTGTCGATGTGTACTGTGTCAAACATAGAGCATTATTGTCGCCGGGGGCTGCAGGCTCCCTCATGTGGGCGCGTAACGTAAGTGAAGCAATAATATAAACATCTGTATCTCTTGTTTAACCGCTAGTTATGTTATGTTTAAGTATGTCTACTAATCGTACAATGTCCCCTGCACAATTGTCTCTCCGCTCCGTGTGAGGAGCTCGCCATGTTGTGTGGCGGGTAGAGCCTGCAGACTCCGGGCGCGAGTACCATCTAGTTATTTTTTACTAATTTTGAATGCTTATAAATAAAATAAATATATTTTACGCTTCCCAGAGGTGTTATATAGCCAAAGAGTGGATTAATATTTGTACAAATCGGCTGAAAGCCCTTATTTTGTTGTGTATTAGTTGGAATACATATTTATTGTCTTGCCATCGTATACAGAGTGTAGGTAACTGTTTGGTGGGAGTATGTATTGTTTGTGTTGTAATGTCGTCTACACTCGGCTCCTGAATCTCTCCTAGGTAAACTTATTTAATTGTTAAACACTATTATGTTTATTGTTTACATATTTTATATAACTTTGTTGTAATGAATCCCACAAAGGCATCAATGTTTGATGCGTATGTTTGTCTTTTTAGTTCCACTTTGAAAGGTGGAACACTGCGACCACAAGCAGAACTCGCCTCAACAGACAGATATTGTTGTATGTGTTAAAGGTTGGTAGCGGTGGTGTTGATTGTTTGAGGTGGTTTCCCGACTCGCCCAGTGTTTGGATATGTCGTCATTGAAACCCGATGAAGTAAACACTTGAATCGAATATTGAAACGTCCTGACGGGTGCTTTCACCCTTAATTATAAGAACTTGATGTTTATGACTTCTAAATTGTGATCTGATTGTTTCGAATGTATTTATATATTGTTTACTGAGTTGTAGACGACATTACGACGGGTACTCTATAGTTTGTGTTAATAATTTGTAGCTAACACGAAGATTATGAAGTCTGTTGGAGTGTCGCGGCTGCACCGCCCGGCGCGCTGGGGACGCGCGACATATATGTAACTGTTATTTATATACAAAGTTGATAATAAATGAATTTGTATTATATGACATAAATATTTTGTAAAGTAATATGAATGTTTCCATAGCTATTAAAATATTGGCCGGCTCGGTCCCCAGCGTGGCGGGCGACGTGTGCAGCCTCGTATACCTATATTTGTTGTCTGTTCACCGATCACTATTAGAACACATTAGCTGAGTAAATTAATACAT